GGAGTTTGAGACAAGTTCTCTCTGTGTATCTCTGTGTAGCCCTATTTAGACCAGGCTGGCCTGGAACTCAGATATCCAACTGCCTCAGCCTCCTTAGTGCTGGGATTAAAAGTGTTTGGTACCATGCTCAGCTTAACCAATGTTTTTGCTTTTTAATTCTTATTTTATGCACATGGGTGTTGCAGAGTATTATTTTATGGTGTGTTACATTTGTTTATGCTGTAGAACATTTATTTAACGATTTAAGGATGTGTTGCTTTTGTTTATGCTGCATTTATTTAACTCTGTGAAGCTGTTATTCTTTGCCTGTCTAAAACATCTGATGGTCTAACAAAGCACTAAATGCCCAATGTTGAGGCAGGAGATTAGGATAGGCAGGGCTGGTGGTAGACAGTATAAACAGAAGAAAAAGTCTGGGAAGAGAAGAAAAAGGAGGAGCAAGAGAGAACAAGGAGAGGAGGACATCAGGGCCTAGTCACCCAGTCACACGTTCAGCCACAGAGCAAGAGTGAAAGTAAGAGATACAGAAGTAAGAAAAGGAAAAAGCCCAGAGACAAAAGGTAGTTGGGATAATTTAAGAAAAGCTAGCAAGAAATAAGCCAAACTAAGGCTGGGATTTAGGAGAAAGAAGACTCTGGGTTTGATTTATTTGGTAGCTGGGTGACAGGTCCCCAGAAGAGTAAAGAGCCAAAGAGGACAAAGAATAAAGAGTTAAAAAAAAATTTTTGGTGCCCAAGGTGAGGCTAGAGTAGAAGAAAATCCAACTACATATGGCTGTTTTGCCTTAATGCATGTCTGTGCATCATGTGCATGTCTGAGACTTGAGGAGGCCAGAAGGGGCCATTGGATCCCCTGGACCTGGAGTCACAGAAGGTTGTTAACCATCATGTGGTTGCTAGAAACTGAACCCAGGTCTTCCAAAAGAGCAGCTGGTGTTCTTAACTGCTGAGCCCTTTTTCAAGACCCTTAACTAATGTTTTTTAGGTTTCACAAGTAAGGATGATGGATCAAATCACCTGAAATTATATGCTAATGTTGTTGGGTATGAAAATATGTATATGTACAGGGATAAGCTTCCAGATTCATCTTTTGGCAGTATGGTTTTGAAAGACTTTAATTTGTAGAGCAAGGATGTAGGAAAAGGGCAGGAGAATAGTTCTTGCAAGCAGAATATAGACAATCACAAAGAATGGACATTGACATGGGTGGAAAGATCAGGAATTATGAGAACAAGAAAGGTTACTATGGTGATGGGGCTAGTGGTTATATACTAGGCTGATCTTGTTAAATAGGGCTAGTTACAGCCAAGAGAAAGCCAGAGTATGAAAGACTTTTCTCTCAGGTCTTGGCCCACAACAAGGAAATAGGCCCCAACCCTGGAACAAATAATTCCAGATGACCAGCCCTGTCTGGGTCACTCCTGGCCAACGGGACACTCTGGGGACTTTACAAGGTACATTCTGTGTTTTTTCCTTTATCCTTTGAAGAACAGGTCACACCTGGGTGATCTCTCAAACATGAGATTATATTTTGTAATCAGTCTCCTTGTGCCTGGTGCATGTATGCTGATTTGCGGTCTTTCTCTATAAAAAAAAAAAAAAAAAAAAAAAAAAAAAAAAAAAAACCTTTGAGGGGTGTGCAGCTTTCCCCGAGATTGCTGACACCTGAGTGCACTCATTCAATAGACACCTCTTACTGGTTTTGGTGTTTGTGTCTCGGGGGCTCTCCCATCGGCCTATCCGGATCCCGAAATTAGGGTCTTACAGTTTAATGTTAAGGACAGAAAAGCCCAGGGACATTACCTGCTGAAGTCTGGGCTCCAGCACTGCTGCTACCCTTACTCTGGCCAAACCAACTTAATACTTTAGCTGAACTTTAGTTTCCTTGTTGGTAAAAATGGGGGAAAAATTTAGTATCTGCTCCACACTTACAAGAATTAAAAGAGTTAGCCAGGTGTGGTGAGCCACATTGTTTAATCCTAGCACTAGGAAGGCAGAGGCAGGTGGATCTCTGTGAGTTCAACGCCATCCTGATTTAGTACAAAGTGAGTTCTGGGACAACCAGGGATACACAAAAAAATTCTTGTCTCAAAAACAAACAAACAAGCAGGGCAGTGGTGGTGAACACCTTTAATCTTAGCACTCAGGAGGCAGAGACAGAGGTAGGCAGATCTCAGTGAGTTCAAGGCCAGCCTGGTCTACAAAGAGAGTTCCAGAATGTCCAGGGCTACAGAGAAACACTGTCTCAAAAAACAAAAACACAAAGAAATTAGAAGAGTTAGAGTTTATGAGATGGTCCAGTGCTTAAGAGCACTTGTTGCTCTTGCAGAGGACCAGGGTTTAGTTCCCAGCACCCACATGGTGGTTCACCCTGTCTGTAATTCCAGTTCCAGGGAATCCAGTTCCCTCATCTGACCTCCTTGAGCACCAGGCATGAGCACTGTGCTGTGTTGCTTGGGTCAGTTGAAGAAAGAGGGTCACTCCAGGATGCAATCCAGGCTCTGTCGCAGCAGGGAAGAATAGTTTCTATGAACTGACTGAACTTCAAACAGCCATGCAAAGGCCTATTTATTGATTGTTACATGAAAGTTGTGTTTTGGGTAAAACAAGTTCCTCATACCACAGCCTCTGATCTAATCTTTATGTTTTCTGATGGAAAACATCACACACTTGCAACCCTAGTCTTATTGTGTACTCTTTGCAGGATCCAATAATGCAAGACACTCCAGGTGTGCCAGGACTGTCTTGTGACGAAAGTCATGCAAAGGCTGTAGAGCTCCTTCAGAAACACAACTCTGAAGATAGCAGAACACTGTTTTCCACAATGATTTCTTCAAGGTCTTTTAGAAAACAACTATTCATTCTGATGTTTACCTTAGATACAGAGAAAACTATTTTTAAAGATACAATGAATCTACTAGTTTTCCTTCTATATCATGTACATACCTACAATCAGGCAAACCACCCATATACATAAAATAAGTAAATTTAAAAACTTTTTTTAAAGAACTTAAAGAGCTAATATATTTGAGGTTAGCTGAGGCAGTTTAGCAATGGGCTATGGGGGAGAAGAGAATATAAAGGAGAAGGGGGAACATAAAGTGTTTGGCCATGGTCTGCCACAGAATAAGCCCCATATAAACATAGGCCACTGTCATTTCCAGCTCCCCTTGCCCCCAAGTCCTCTGCACTCTATCCTGCTTTTCCCAACTCAGAGCCCTTTGCTGGTGGGGGTGGTGAGGGGGGGTCTTTCCTCTGGCACTCCTATGTGTTAGTATTCAGGCATCTCATCTGTACTGGCCTGCCCTTGGGGTTCTGACAGGATATTTCCTCAGCTGCAATGACTAAGAGCACGAGGTGTGCACATTCACTAAGTTCCCTTTAAAAAGTGCTCTGTCTACCTCCCAGTTTTCTCTCTTTTTCTCTCTCTGCTTCTCTGTGCCTGGCTCTCTGCCCCCGCCCATCTCTCTCTGCCTCTCTTTTTTCTTCTGCTGCTCCTGTCCCCAGAGGCTGGTCTCTCCCCTCTTTCCCCCTTTTCCCATTCCCTTTCCCCTAGTAAAAACCCTCTCCACATGAGCTCTGTCACATAGCATATTTTTTCTCTCCAGCCACTTTTTTTTTTTCATTACAACACTATGTGTTGATGTGCCTGAGGCCTCAACTCAAATGCCATTTTCTCTTACTGATCTCTAGAGCAGGACAGCCCTGCCTTTCATCAACTGACAAAGCTTTCTCTATTCTCCTCCACAACCTTCCCATGATCTATTTATGGTAATCCCCCTTTAAGGCTTTCCCTGACATCCTTTAAGCTTGAGAAGGTGGAGGTTATGTCTGTCTGGCTCCCTCCGGGCTCAGCACAGTCTAGTTCACAGAGGGGTTACCTGTAAACTTTTGTAAAATGCACAAGGAAGGGAACACACAAAAGACTTTTTATTGAGCCGTGAGCTGCTATCCAAATGACATCACAATGACAAAGTTACAAACTCTGATGATTACTAAATAATCAAATGCTAAATCTGTAAGAATATGTATCCTGTAAAGGAACCTCCTCTCCATTGCTATACAACATATTGCTTCAAATTGTGGAACAGGTGTCTTCCAACTAAATGGAAATTAATTAAGCAAAAGAACCAGAAACTATCAGTGTAGATGAGAAATCACAGATCGATAATGACTTGCTAAAACTTAAACCATGTTCATTCCCATGAAATAGATCTAAGATGAAAGAAAAACTTGAACAGAGCTTGCCTGTTCCCAGAGAAATGTTACTGGCCTTAGTTCAAGACAGGATTAAATATTTTCATAAGTGAACAAAATCAACTGTGCCATTCTGAGAAATTTATTGCTACCTTGAGGATTAACACATGACACCATCGTAAAAACTATTATTTTATTATCAAGTAATAATCAAGTACTTGGGAAATTACGATGGATACCATCATAGTTCAAAGCAGACAACAGTGATTCTCTCGGGCAAAAAGACTTGCTTTGCCCCCATAGGACAAAGAGTCTCTGAGAAAGGATGCCTTCTATCTCACCAACTGTCAAATTAACGGCTCCTCTCATGTGCATTCGGCCTCAGAATACTTACCAGATGCTATCTCCCAGACAAAATGTGGTAATTTTCTAAATATGATTGGGGAAAACTGAACAAAGCACTGGACTTTAGCTCCCGGAGAAAGCAAACCGGTGTGGTTTCCAAAGAATCGTTAGTGAGCAGAGGGCGGAGAAGGGCTGGTTCAATGATCCCATAGGGCCTAGGCCATTGGATACTGCCTCTCCTGCTTTCCTCAAGCTCATAGTTCAAAGTCTGGTAGTGCTTGGAACTAAATCACTCTGCACTTACGCCGCTAGGTGGTGGGCCAAATCCTGGACTACATTTCCCAGAGGGCTCTGCTCCCGGGCGGTTACAATTGAATCGGGGTGTGTCTAGGAACGAGAAGCCATAGTTGGCCAGCTACTTTGGAGCATCAACTTCCACTGTGCTACGGTGGTGCCGAGATGGTTGTGTGCCTGCTGCTCTTCTGTCTTCCCTTCATCCTGTACTTGGCTGCGCCAAAAATCAGGTCTGTGCGATTTGCCTTTTCTTGCCAGGTTTTTCCCCCGCCCCCGCGCGTGCGAGAGAGAGAGACTGAGAAACTGAGACTGACTAGGAAAACTGGGAAAACGGGAGGAGACCTTTAGATAGCCAAAATCTGGAGTCCAGTGGACTGCAGGCGAGATCCTGGTGCCCTGAATGTGCGCATGGCGAGACACCAGACCCTGGTGGTAGTGTCAGGGCTCCCGGTCCCCAGCATCCTGCTTTGCTCTTTTCTGGACTGCCTTTCCTCTAGCGCCACCTGCTTCTGGCTCAGGGAAAGCCCGAGAAGAGCATGGCGGGCTTCAGACCCTAACATGGGGTGCAACCCTCAACGCTATTTCCTCCACTCCCACGCTTAGAACCAGCCTTTGTCTAGCAGTGCTTGCTTTCAGCCCTTGAGGCACTACAGAGGCTTGCACTTTTTGATCTCTGAACCGGACCCGAGTTTTATCTGTAGTTCCACTGCACACACTGCTGCTATTCACTCCTCCGTGCAGGTGTTAGAGGAGAGAATTGAAAGGGGAGATTGCTTTCTTTTCCCTGGGGGAGTGGGGGGTTGAATTAGAATCCTAGGGACCAGTATGGGAAGGAACGAGTGAAAGAGAGCAAAATGGTCTCTTGACCAGGTGTCAGATCAGCCCAAAGCTGGCCATATACCGCCAGAGAATCAGCCACGGTCTACACCAGGGACAGCCCACTGATTGGTTCTGAATAAGTCACCAGGAGTGACGGCGGACCAATAATAAACCCTCCCTTCCTTCTGGCAGCATGGCCTTAGTTCCTATTGGATCTGAGACTGTGCCTGATAATCCTGTAATTTCTTACCATAGTAAATGGTTATGAAGTCCGGCTTCCCTCCCTTTTTTATTTTCCCTTCTCTCCCTGATGGCCTCTTTCTGAATACTCACTGCTCCCACGTGTAGTAGGCACACATGTGCCTGTACGCAGATGAAAACACGAATTTCTGTCTACCACCAGATCTTCATATCCACATAGAATCTGAACAAACACTTGAACCGGAACTTGGTCCAGCGAGATGTTTCTGAGAACAGAACACTCTAAGGCCTGCAGTATCCCCATTGGGGGTTGTGGGAGTGGGGCCAGAGATGGGCTTTCACAGTTGACTACTTCTTTTGTTTTTTCTGATTACAGAGAAAGAACCAAGTACAGGTCTCCAGGATTTGTCTGTGTTGAAGTCAGTCTGAAGGGTTGTGAGAGACAGCCAGGGGCCCTGATGCCTGAGCAGAGAGGTTCAGTTGGCACCATGAGTTAGTTTGCCTAAAGCAGTAGCTTCAGTGGCTGCTCACAATTAACAGGTTCAATGGAAAAGGTTGAAATGCTCTTTCAAAATACACTCTTAGTCAACAGATGCTTTTAATCCAAAGATTGTAGATAAAAAGAAAACATCTGAGAGTTGTGTTTGTGCTTTGTCCATTTGGAAAGGCTATAGAGCATACAACATAGGAACAAGAACTCCAATTAGACAACAAGATGCAAATGTTCACTTTTCTGTGTGTATTATTAATGTGTGACCTTAGTAATCAGACCTGGGGCTTTCCACATGACAAATACATACTTTTATCCCAAGCTAAGTCCATATATATATATATATATATATATATATATATATATATAATTTATTTTTATTTTATGTGCATTGGTGTTTTGCCTGCATGTATGTCTCAGTGAGGGTGCTGGGTCCCCTGGAACTGGAGTTACAGATGGCTGTGAGGCATCATGTCTGTGCTGGGAATTGAACCTTACTCCTCTGGAAGGGCAGTCAGTGCTCCTAAACACTAAGCCATCTCTCTAGCCCCTACCCATTCTTAAATGTATTTTTAAAAATATGTGAATGTGTTTTCTTATTTTCAACCTAGATTCATAAGACTACGATTTCTACTCTTTGAATTGGATTAGCCATTCTTAAGATTATAAAATGCCATTTGTCACAGATGGACATGCAAAGATCAGTTTTCTTCTGCTTGGTTGAGTCTTATGATTTCCTAAGCCTAAAACGGAAATCAGGTGCCTGAACAATCATTCACTCACCCAGGTCTTGTGCTTTAGGGAGCAAATAGAACCTCTGTTTGCTTTAGTTTTTTGAGATATCATCTCTCTACGTCACCCTGGCTGTTCTGAAACTCACTATGTAGATCAGGCTGGCCTGGAATTCATAGAGATCCCTCTGCCTCCCAAGTGCTGGGATCAAAGATATTTGTTACCATGCCCAGCCAGATCTAATTTTGTCTTTAAAATGCTATCACTTTTTTGTCCTTAAACAAGAGCATAAAGTTTTGTTTGTTTTTCTTTTTGAGACAGTTGCTTAGTAGCCCAGGCTGACCTTGGACTCAATTCTTTATCTCCAAAGTGGTAAGATTATACCTGGCTTAAGAGCAGAAGGCTGCCTTCTTTCTTTTTCATTTTTTAACATTTATTTATTGTGTGTATATATTTATCGTATATTGGGATGGATATATATGTGTGTACCATGGTGTACATGTGGAGGTCAGAGGACAACTTCCAGGAGGACTCACTTTCCATCATATGGGTCCTAGATATTGAACTGGTGTCTACAGGCTTAGAGGCAATCATGTTTACTTGCTAAGGTGTCTTGCTGGCCTCATCACTTTTCAGCTTAAGCTTATAAAAGAATAACATTGAAGAAATGAAAGCAATTTCAGCCTTGCCATTGGAAGGCAGGCAGAATTGCAGGAGCACTCAGCAGGAACAGATAATGAAGAACTCATATGTTTTCCTGTGTCTGTAGGAAAATGCTGTCCAGTGGGGTGTGTACATCTAAAGTCCAACTTCCTGGGAAGGTAGCCATAGTCACTGGCGCTAACACAGGCATTGGGAAAGAGACTGCTAAAGACCTGGCCCAAAGAGGCAAGTGCACCTGCTCCCAACTCGCCCCTGCTGATGTTTTGCCACTCACAGTGATGACCATATTCATTGTTTCTTCCCAGATTTGGAATGTCAGAACGCTCCAAGCACCTCATTTATTTCCTACTATAGTCTGAGTCTTCTATGATGTTCTACATATAATGGGCACTTAACAAAAACTTAAAAAATAACACATACCATCTCAATTTTTTTTCTGTGCTCGTTTGTTTCAAATACAACTGTTATGAAGTAAGGGATAAAAATTCCTGTTTTGTAAGATATCTGGGACATTCAGCATCTGTTCACTCTCTCAATTTTTCCTTCATTTGGTTGACAGGAGCCCGTGTGTATTTAGCTTGCCGGGATGTAGAAAAGGGGGAACTGGTGGCTAACGAGATCCAAGCCACCACAGGGAACAATCAGGTCCTGGTAAGAAAACTGGACCTAGCTGATACCAAGTCCATTCGAGCCTTTGCCAAAGACTTCTTAGCTGGTAAGTGGAGACAAAGACTATATATATTAATGGCCATTGCAACATAATTTTATTTATGTCATGTCAATATATTATCAAAGGGACATCTTCTGGATGTAAAAACAAAGAGAGAACCTGTCTTAGTTACTTTTCTGTTGTCATGATGAGACACCATGACCAAGGCAACTTATAAAAGTTCACAATTCCAGAAGGCTACAGGCTTTGGCCTTCATAGTGCGGGACAGGTAGCAGGTAGGCAGGCATGGCGCTGGACCTGAGCGATCACATCCTGATCTGTAACCACAAGGCAGAAATAGCTAATTGGGAATGATATGGGCTTTTGAAACCTCAAAACCCCAGTAACACACCATCTCCAATAAGACCACACCTCCTAATCCTTCTTAAAAAAAAGTTCCACCAACTAGAGATGAAGTATCCAAATACATGAGCCTATGGGGGCCATTCTCATCCAAACCACCACAGAGCCCAAAACCCACCACAGTGAGTAAGATCTAAAGTAGCAGGAACATCAGAACTTAATATGGGCTGGGCTTGGTAGGGTCTGTCATAAATGTCCATGCTGGGATAGGGAAGTGATGAGGCCTCAGGCCTTTGAAAGCTGGAATTCTATAAGAGGTTGAGATTCATAGAGAGTCATTTGGTCCGTGGTGTAAGTACTAAAAAGAAAAACAAACCTCTGGCCCCACCTCAGGGCCATAATAAAGCAGCTTACCCTTTCTTGGTGTAGTGAATATTTTCCTCTTGCTGTGATAAGATACCATGACCAAGTGAGCTTTAAATGAAAGCATTTAATTGGGTTAGAGTCCATGAAGGCAGAGCAAAGGCAAGGCAGCAGGAGCAGCGGAGAACTCACATCTTGTGTAAGCAGGTCATAGGAGATATCCTGGGAATGGCACAAGTCTTTTGAAACTTCAAACCTGTCCCCAGTGACAAATTTCCTCCAGCAAGGCTACAGTACCTAATTATCTTCAAAGAGCTACCAACTGGGGACCAAGCATTCAAAGGCCCAAGATGTACAGAGCATCTCATTCAAACACACATGTAGGATCCGGATAGATGAAGGAAGGGTGCAAGAAATTATCTGCAAGAAATTAGAATCCAAGCTATATCATGAAGTCATTCTACTAAGTGTTGTAGCATCTTAATTTAAAAGCCTGTGGGGCCAGCAAGATGGCTCATCAGGTAAAGGTGCTTGCTGCCAAGCCTGATGACCAGAGTTCAAATCTTTGGAACCCACATGGTGGAAGGCGAGAACTAACTCCCACAAGTTGTCCTCTGACCTCCACACATACTCCATGTCATGTATCCTCTCTCTCATGGAAATAAATAAAGACAATAACATTTTTTTTTTAGAAAGCTGTAGTGTTTCACCAAAAGTAGACCCAAGAGTACTGCGCAGGTGTGTCCCACCCCCATCACCCAGGGATCTAGACTTATGGAAAACAACTTCCACCTGTAAGAGTTTACAGTCATGAATTACAAATCACACAAGCAAATAAACTACAAGAGAGAGGTGCCAGGTTTCTTTGGGGGCCCCAATCCTAGACATATGAGTGCTTATGGGGTATCCTTTCCCTGCCGGCTTCTACGTCTTTCCATTCAGTTTGGGAAGTTTTTCTGCTGGGAGGGATGGATGGAGTACTTGCACAAGACATTGGGTAAGGAGTTTTGGAAAGCCTGGATATACTATTCTATGGTGGAAAGTGGAACTTTGCCCTGTAAAAGTGTGATATCAGTCCTAGTCTTACAATAAAAGAACAATAGTGAAGTAACCGAAAGGGAATATGGGGGAAAGAGTGAAGTCTTGCATTCCTGCTTTCATACTCCCTGCTTGGAGGCCTAGGCCCGGGTAGTGAGGGTGGTTCCTGAGATGTGAAAACATGGCTGTTTTCTCTTCCTGCAGAGGAAAAGCACCTCCACATCCTAATCAACAATGCAGGAGTGATGATGTGCCCCTACTCCAAGACCGCAGATGGCTTTGAGATGCACATTGGAGTCAACCACTTGGGTGAGAAGTCTGTCCTCAGTCTAAAGCCAGAGGAAACCTAAAACTCTCTTGGGAAATTCAGGGGTCAAATTGAACCCTCTCTGTGGCATCACTGGGGCTCAGGGCATGCATAATAAATAGATGAGAAGTGCCTGAAACCTGAGAGCTAACCAACCCTGAGGCCTGCTTCAACTTCTGCCTACGACTGCTAGCTACTATTACTACACACACACACACACACACACACACACAGAGCACTCATATATCTGTATGGGTATATGCTATATATGTATGTATGTGTCTGCAGAAGCTGAAAGAAAGCATCAGGTCCCCTGGAGCTGGAGTTATAGGTGGTTGTGAGTCCCCACATATGAGTGCTGGGAACCAGACTCCAGTCCTCTGGAAGAGCAGCAAGCACTCTTAACTTCAAGTCCTCTCCCTACTTTTTAAATCTGTAATTTAGATCTGGCTTCTGTCGGGGGTATATTTGAACAGCTTGATTAGATTGACGGATGTGTTGCTTATCCTTATGGTCAGAATCAGGTAGAGGCCATGTGCTCTTTATGGTCATTTGTTTTGCAGACAAGTCTTGTTATGCAGTCCAGACTCCCTTCCAACTCCTCCTGATCTTTCTGCCTTAGCCTCCAGAGTGTGAGCCACTGTCTGCTCTCAGAGAGTGGTCTTCCTGGCTCTTGAAGTGAAACAGGACTCAGCCTTAGCACAGACCTGCCTTGTGTAAGGGTGTCTCGTGTCTTTGGCTGTTTCTGTTTCCTTAAATCCCCTGTGACTTTGCGCTCTAGTTTATAATGAAAAGTCGCAGTGCTGGGCCTCGTTCCTGAGTACTATGTCACCTTATCACGGCTGCCATCACAGCCAGCTCCCATAGCTGAGCTCTGCTTGCCCCCATGTTTCCTATCCCCACACGGGCGCTGAACGACTCTGATAGCCTTACCTTCTCTCAACAGGTCACTTCCTCTTGACCCACTTGCTGCTAGGAAAGCTGAGGGACTCGGCCCCATCAAGGGTAGTCAATGTGTCCTCCTTGGCACATCACCTGGGAAGGATCCACTTCCATAACCTGCAAGGCGAGAAGTTCTACAGTGCAGGTCTTGCCTATTGCCACAGCAAATTAGCCAACATTCTCTTCACTCAGGAACTGGCCAGGAGGCTGAAAGGTGAGCATGGGAGGAGAGAGCAGTATGAGAGGCAGCGAAAAGCTGCAGAATGGGAACTATTTTCCAGAGCCCCTGGCCTGGACTCATGGACGCGCCATGAGTCTTACCGGGTATGGTTTTGTAAGTAGAGCACGTTGCCTGTTGGAGGTGGCTGGCTGGGGGCAGGGAAATTCTGACTCTTGACTCTGAAGACTTGTCCCCAGTGCTTACTGCTGTCTGACCTACAGCAAGTTACCAACATTTCCAAGATTTTGTTCCTCCTAGGTACAGTGAGGACTGCTTCCTGGGTCACTGTCACAGTCCATTCAGTCCTCACAAGCAAGTCAGGGTTTTTCAGTTCTACTGATAAAGTGGAATGGAATTTAATAGCAGACATTAGTATGAAACACGCACTGGGATTAGTGGACGGTGGGAGCAGGCGTCTCTCTAATGGGTAAAGGTCAAATAAGGGGCTGAGTGCTTGTTGCTCTTGTGAATGACCCAGAATCAGTTCTCAGCAGCCGCATAATGGCTCAACCATCCACAGTTCCAGTTCCAGGAGATCGCATGCCTTCTTGTGACCTCTTTGGGGACCAGTCACACATGTGACATACTTACATGCAGGCAAAACACTCATAACAATAAAATAGTTTTTTAAAAATAAAAGGGGAAATATGCTTGAGATGGGGAATTTGTAGTCACAAGTACACAGAGGTAGTTACCATTGTCTGCTGTGCATTTTTAAAACAGATTTATTTATTTATTGTGTATGCCTGAAGAGAGCACCAGATATCATTACAGATGACTGTGAGCCACCATGTGGTTGCTGGGAATTGAACTCAGGACCTCTGGAAGAGCAGCCAGTACTCCTAACCACTGAGCCATCTCTCCAGCCCCTGCTGTGCATTATAATAAAGAGAAAGGGAATCTAGAGTGGGCAGTGCTAAGGAGTTGAGCCAGACTGAATTCAAGCTCAGGGAATCAGGAGCTAGAGCTATACTGTTGAAGTGGTAATCAAACTGCAAGGGCAGCCACAAAGTTGCAAGAATGAGAGGAAGGAAGCAAGTGGTCAGCTCCGTCCCAATGCTGATTCCATGCCTAGGGCAAGGCATCCTTTATCAGCCCAGAATAGATAAGGAGAAGTGACAGTAAGAACTACTAAGGGTTGTTAGGAAGTTTAGATGACCCGGAGGTAGCGACATACATCCAGTGTGAGTTAGGTAAAAAGCAGAGTATACGGTGAGGGAACCCTGGCAACTGTGATGATTAAGTGGACAATAGTGGTATAATACAGGAACCCTAATGCGAGAGAAGATCTGGCATCCACAAACATGCATCCCATGTCCTAGTTAGGGCTTGGGGATGAAGTACAGGATAAGACATGTTCAGGTACTTCCTTGACTTGGCTTACATCTAATGAGGAAGAGAGAATTTACTAAGTGTTTGTGTAACCAATAAATACATGTAAAGTCACTCTAGTTATGTGTGGATAATACTGTAAAAAAAGTTCAAATAGTTTAGATGTACACTAAAGACAAAAGGCTTCCATTCATGCCCCACCCTTCAAATGACCACCGTCAGCAGCTGCCAGTCATTTTCCTATGCATTTGCATACATGAGGAACTATAATTCTAACAAGATCTCAGTGGTCTTTCTATGTAATGAATACAAATTTACCCCCATTCAAAGGAGCAGTTTGGGGTATAGATGTATAAACGTGAGCATACAGCAGTTGAGAGCACTTGCTGCAAGTTCAGTCCCTGGCTAATAACTCCATCACCAGGGGATCTTCTGTCCTCTTCATGCACCCACACACATGGCACACACACACACAGAGACACACATACACACAAAGCAAAACAGAAATCTTTCTTGAAAGTGTGAACCTCAGCTGGGCAGTGGTGATGTTCGCCTTTAATCCCAGCACTCAGGAGTCAGGCCAGTCTCTTGAGTTTGAGGCTAGCCTGGTCTACAGATTGAGACCCAGGATAGCCAGAGCTACACAGGAAAACCCTATCTCAAAACAATCAAGCAAGCATGAGTATCATAGAATTATAAGGTGGGAGTTTAGTGAGCCATGGGAATTCTGAGGCTTGGTGTTTGGGTAGAAAGTGATAACTGAGGATATCTAGAACCGAGTTAAAACATCTAATGACTGAAGAACACTGGAAGAGGCATGGGGTCATGGAAGCCTAAGAGGGAGTTTGAGGATGCCAACAGTGTAAAGAGCTGCTCTGAGGTTGGTCCCAGCTCTGTTGCCGTAGAGCAGGGTAAAGCCTGTCTGGACACTGGTTCCTGAATCTATAACATGCATAAATCACAATGAGTAGTGTGAGTGATGTCACCAGAAGCATGGACTTGGTCTATGGGAGTCATACGTGTCTTCACATGCCTTGCTCTGATTAGTTGGTAACATCAAGTCTTTTCTTCCTTCTTGACATGACACCTGCCTGTACCAGGCTCTGGAGTGACGACGTATTCTGTCCACCCTGGCACAGTCGATTCTGATTTGATTCGGCACTCATCACTTATGAGATGGATGTGGCAACTTTTCTTCCTTTTCATCAAGACCCCTCAACAGGGAGCCCAGACGAGCCTGTACTGTGCCTTAACGGAAGGCATTGAGAGCCTAAGTGGCAGTCACTTCAGGTATGAATGTATCCACCTTTGAAAATGAGCTGTTATTGCTTGCAGGAAAAACTTGGGTTTGTCTGATATAGTACATGCTTTTTGTATAATGTGTGTTTCCCAGAGTTGGAGACATGGCTGTGTTAGTACAGGCTGCTCTTTGAGAGGTCCTGGGTTCTGTTCACAGTACCTAGTCACTCTGTCTGTCCCTAACTCTAGTTTCCAGGAATCTGACACTCTCTTCTAGCCACCAGGGACACCAGGCATGGACATGGTGCGCAGATGTACAGGCAGATAAACACTCATACATATGAAATAAAAATAGCAATAAAGTTTTACAATTTAAGTTCATTTCCTAAAATAGCTTTTGTCCTTTAACTCTAAGATTTTTCTTTTAATAGGAGAATTGGCCTGTTCGAATTTTTTGTAGTACCTGCTAGGTTTGATTTTATTTTTATACCATCATTTACAGTAATGATAGTGTTCTCTCTGTGTTTCTTTTTTCTCTCTCTCTCATCCCATCTCTCATGTCAATCCTGTTTTCTTCTATTTTTGGATCCCAGCTTCTGTTTTATTTTTAATCTATATTTCTCTATTATCTTCAAATTTGAAATAGTGCCAACAGATTGCTTGTATTTTGTTTTATGATTTTCTGTGTGCTGGGATGGAACCCAGGCCCTCTGTGGTGCAAAGTCAAGTGTTCTCACTGCTCTCTATCCCCTGCCCTGTTCTTGGTTTTTGGATGTGTTGTAAGCATGTTAGTGTGAGTGAAGGTGCATGTGTGTCTTACATGTGGAAACCAGAGGACAGCTTCAGGTGACACCTTTTGAAGGGGCTGGACACAAAGTGAAAAGATGTCTCTTTAGCTTGAGACATGCCAAGGTAGACTAACTGGCCAGTGAACCCCAGAACTCATCCATCTCAATCTCCAGCCCTGGGATTACATCTGGGCTTTTTTTTTTTTTAACATGAGTCCTCATGCTTCCAAGGTATGCATGCACTTGACCAACTAAACTAACCCCCCAGTCCTATTTCTTATTTATTTTCTATTTTATTTATTATTATTATTATTGAGGTACAGTCTTGCTGTATAATCCAAACCGACCCCAAACTCACAATTTGCCCACCTCTGCCTCAACTTTTATTATGTAAAGTTTGAACATATGCACAAGTAGAATAACTAGCATATTAAATCCCATCTATACCTACTATCTATCTTCAGCTGTGGCCATGAAGTTTGGCTAACAAGTCAGAAGGAAATATGCTACAGTATTAGATGGGAATGGCTTTCTATCTACAGGGAAGACCACAGGGCAGACTTGGAATGGTCAATGGCCAATCAGCTGTCTGGGAACTGTTTTGGAACCAACTGTCTTGAGTCTTAGTTCCATTATTTCCCATGCTTTCTCCAAAGAGGACAAATTTGTTAGGAGGGTAAGCTTTCTACTGCCAAAAAATTGAAAATGAAATGGATATTTTGTTGAAGTAACTGTTGTCTACCTGAGACTATATGTCTCTAGTATGTGATATCAGCATGCTACACAAGTAGAAATGTATAGCAGATAGATGGAAATGAGGATCTGAAGTTTAAGAACTATATAAACTCTAAAAGCACTGTACACTAGATAAATAGCTTTGTCCATTTTTTTAAGACAGGGTCTTACTATTTAGCCTTAGATATCCTAAAACTTGCTATGTAGACCGGGCTGACCTTGAGCAGAGTGCTGGGATTGAAGGTGTGAATCACCATACTGGTCTCTTATTTACTTATTGATTGATTGATTGATTGATTGATTGATTGATTGATTGATTGATTTTTGAGACATGGACTCTTGTAGCTCATGCTGGCCTCATAATCCTCCTGCTCTAATTCCCAAATGCTTAGATTACAGGTATGTACTGGCACATCTGTTTATTGAACTGACATTTCTCATACTGTGGATATTAATCTTACTTCATTTGATTCAGCAGCAGTCATGTAGATGAGTCATGTAGAAGTCTGCTCTGACAGAGGCCTTGACTGTTTTAGTGACTGTTCATCTGCCTGGTTTCACTAATCTGCTTTTTATCTCTAAGGATTTACCTATTCTCAATGTTCTGTATAAATGGAATTATATACCTAGAATCTTGTGTCTTCTTTCTCTTAGCATAATGTTTTAAAGTTTCATCCATGCCAAAACACATATTATTTAATTACTTTTTAATTATGAAGAATATTTTATTGTATGGACATAGCATCACTTACCATGCATAAAATGAACATATAATTCTGCTTTCTGGCTATTTAAATAATACTATAAACATTCACATAGTTATTATTTTATTATTTTTATTTGCTTGCTTGATTTCACTTTAGTTTTTGAGACAGGGCTGACCTAGAAATTGTGACAGCTATCCTGTCTCAGCTTCCCAAGTGCTGGAATTACAAGTGTGAGTTAACTGTGTCCCAGCTCTGTCTTTTGGTTTTGGGTTTGGTTTTGGCTGGCCTTGAAATTATGATCCTCCTGCCTCTGCCTCCTGAATACTTGGATTAAAGACATACACCACCATGTAGACATATACCTGACCCATGCAGATATTTTTGTATGAACATTTCTTATGGTCTGAGGTAGAATTTGTGAGCCATGGGGCAACTTCGTGTTTTACTGTAGAGGAACTACCAGGCTTTTCCAAAGTGACTGTAACATTTTGCATGTCCACTGGCAGTGTATGACTGTTTGGTTTCTCCACAGCCATCCAGTGTGTGTGAAATAGAAGCTTGTCCTTTTCCTTCCCCTGCTACTATTGTATTGAGCATTTTGTTCTGAAATGCTCTGTTCATTTGTGCATCTTTGTTGGAGAATTGTCTTTTCAACTCCTCTACCAACTTTTAACTTAGGTTTTCTTCTTTTTATTGTTTGGTGTTCTTTGTAGTCTAGATATAAGTCCTTTATCAAATACAGACAAATACATTTTCATATTCTGTGAATTATCATTTCATCTTTTTTCAATAGTATACTTTGAAGCTCAAACATGTTTAAATATGGTGCGTGCAAGCGCGTGCGTGTGTGTGTGTGTGTGTTGCCGGGATTGACCCCAGAGCTTCAATCACTGAGCTACATCCCTAACGCTCAAGTGTATAATTTTAATTTTGATTAAGTTCAATTTATCATTCTTCTTTTCCATTTGGGCTTTTGGTGTCATATCCAAGAACCATTTCCTTACCTGAGATCACAGGGGTATACTGCCGTACTATATTTCCTTCTAACCTTTTTCAGCTTTAGCATTTCAGTGAGGGCTCAGATCCATTCAAGTCAATTTTTTTTTTAATGTGATACAATATCAAGGCCCACGTTATTTACTTTCCTCCTTGCTGTGACCAAATAGCTGACCAAAGGGGAGAAGAGTTCATATAGATGCTCAGTTCAGAGAGGCGTGGCTAGGTCCTGGAGAACAACACATGCCTCATTTACCTGTGGCCAGCCTTGCAAGTTGAAAGAACATCTAATTCTAGCTATACCAATGCTGGTGGGAAGTCTTGCTGGGAAAGACTTTGAGCCTCCTATAGCTGTAGGGATGAGGACAGAGTCTTTCACACTTTGTGTCATGGGGAGGCCAGCTGTCCTCAGAGGAGTTCTTTCTAATGGCAAGCAAAGTTTAAATCTAAAGCAGAGTTTCTGAGCTGCAATACTTGTCCTTTCTTGTGGGAGACTTCCCTGTGCACAGTAAGATCTTTAGCAGCCTGCTTTCCCCCTACTAAATACTGGTAGGCCCCTATCCAATGTGACTACAGTTGTGGAAGACATTACCAAGTTTCCTTGGGAGAGGGATGTCACCCCTGATTGAGAACTACTGCTCTGGAGGACAAATCAGGGACAAAGCACAAGGAGAACCCCAGCATGAGTATGTACTCAAGAGGACAGGGCAGTTGTTCAGTTGGTAAACACTTTGGTTTGTTCAGAGTTTCTTTGCTTGTGTTCCCACCAGCATTTCTGGCAGACTCATTGGATAAAATGATTCTCATGTAACTAGCATCTCACATATGCGGACCTAAGTTCACTCACCAGCTCAATGGTACACACCTGCAATCCCAGCACTGAGAGGCAGAGGCAGGAAGATCTTTGAGGCTTGCTGGCCAGCCTAGCTGAATTGGTGGCCTCTAGTTCAGTGAGAGACCCTGTCCTAAAAATAAGGTAGAGGGTGATTGAGGAAGACATTGGACGTCAAACACTGCCTTCCACAGACACAAATACACACATGACATGTACACATGTGTGCATATGAGCGGTGTATACACACATACATGCACATACAAAATGTACTAGATGCAGAGAATTTACAATGAATAAAAGAATTGTCCTTGAAAGAATTTTCTAGGTGGTACAGAGTTTGTTTGGATGTCTGCCCTGCAGTTATGGCAATGCAGAGAAGACATATGAATACCTTTCTGTGGCTTAACTGTGTCCCCAACACAACAGTGTTGAGAATCAGAACCATGAAGATCGGTATTATTGCCATTATTTCAGAGTTGGCTTGGTATTGTGGAAGTGGCTTCCTCTCACTCTGTTAGGCTTTTGTTCTTCCTGTCCCCCTCTCTCTCCCCCAGGTCCCCCTGTGACAGCCTTCAAGCATGCTAGGTAGTGCTCAATCACTGAGCTAGGGCCCCAGCATTCTTCACTCGTGTACTGATGCCTTCTGCGGCCACCGTGTGCAATAGGACCTTAGTGCCTGTCACTGTCCAAGGCCTTGAAGGGTAGAACTTGCCACCTCATTTGAAGTAGATGGAGCTATCCAGGTGTCAGGGAAGCACTGATCACACTGTGTAACAGACAAAGCATTCTGATAAGAGATAGTAATAGGGAGAAGGTAGAAATATTTTCTTGGGGGAAAAGACTAGAGAATAAGTTGGATGTAGTTGTTACAAGCAGTTTTCCCGCCAGCCTGGTCCCAGAGCTGCATCGGCCCCAAATCACACACAGAGACAGTGTATTAGATATAAAGCTGTTGGCCTGTTACTATCGTTTCTTCTTGGCTAGCTTTGTCTTAAATATTAACCCATTTCTGTCAATCTAAGTGTTTCAATGTGGTCTTATCTTACCTGAGAGAGGGTCCAAATCTCTTCCCTCAAGTTTCTACATCTTGACTCTCTTTACTACATCTCTCAGAATCCTCCTTGTCTTCTAATCCCACCTCTTGCCTTCCTATTTGTCAATAGGGTTTTATTCATTAACTAATAAGAGAAACGTATTTACAGAATGACATCTCCAATCATGTAGTGGCATATGCCTATAATCCTAGCATTTCAGGGCAGGGTGTAGAGGCAGAAAGTTCATGGGTTTGAAGCCAGGCTGAGTCAGAGAGCAAGTCTGCCAGGCCAGCCTGGGCTGGATAGAGAGGTGCCAACAAACAGAAGGATCAGAGAACATTGTTCCTGTGTAGTACCTGGGGCCTGTGAACACTAGACTGTTTTCCTGTCATATTTTTTTTTTTTTATACTAAGCCAAAAGCAAATTCCATTCTTTTTTTTTTTTTTTTTTTTTTTTTTCTTTGAGACAGTGTTTCTTTGTATAGTCCTGGCTGTCCTGGAACTAGCTCTGTAGACTAGAACTCAGAGATCCACCTGCCTCTGCCTCTGCCTCTACCTCTCGAATACTGGGATTAAAGACATCTGCCACCATCACCGAGCACAAATTCCATTTTTAACCCTCAGTTCAAATGTCTCTGTTTCCCTTCCAGTGATTGCCACTTGGCATGGGTCTCTAGCCAAGGTCGTAATGAGACAATAGCCAGGCGGCTGTGGGATGTCAGCTGTGACCTGCTGGGACTCCCTATGGATTGGTAAGTGGTGGTTTGGACTCAAAAGAAGATTGGATGAGATGATGATTGTTCTTCAAAGTGGCCAAAACCTTGAGTACAAAGAGCAGAACTTGGAGCCTTACCTGCTTGGTATCTATCCAGCTAAATCCCAGTACATTGCCAGTGCCTTTAAACACCTTAAGTTTGTACCTATTTACTTTGTTCCTGCTCCTGCCATCATTTCTAGTGGTTTCATGAACTAAGACAGAAGACCCTCATATGACCTATGGAGCTCCTGTTTTCCTTTGGAAAGCTACTCCTAGGAAAATGGGAACCCTAGAAGGATTGGGGCATGGCAATGTGGATTAGGTGTAGCTCCTCCCATCAACCAAGCTTTCCCTGAAGAGCTCCATTGCAACCTCAGCTGAACCCCAGGAGTCCAGTGACCTGGCTCAGGAGCAGGCCTTTGTGGCCCCAACGGCTGGATACCTAGAGGAAAGTCTTGACTAAATCTGTCAGTCTGAAGTGTTTGCTGCTGAAACACTTTCCCATGTCCAGACCACAGATGAGCTTCCTTCTCTATGAAGTTTGTGGAATTTGAAGAACAGAAATAAAAATAAAGCTAAACTGTCATTTTCCTGTTTCTCAGCCCAATGAGGAGGTAATGAAGCTTTAGGAGAAGCTGGGTCACTTGGCTTCAGTTACTGACCCCAGATCCATGGAGGCTTCTTTTTATGCCTTTGTTTCTCCTAGGAAATGAGAAGACGAAAGGCCTTTTCATTTTCACTGTGTTGATCTCTGTGTATCTTCTTGTGTATTCATGCAGTTGGGAGTGTTTCCACAAAATCCAAGGTGGCCACGAAGGAAAAGTCCTAAATCAGACTGTAGTTTAGACAAATGACCAGAGGTGAAGCAAACCCATGTAGAGTCTTTGCTTTCATGAGTATGGCTGCAAAGAGAGGGACCCTGTACAGTGTAATCAGTCACTGAGAAGCAGAGATGCATCAGGGAAGATTAAAAAAAAAAAAAATCCTGGGAGGTAATAAATGATAGGAAGGGTTCAGTTAAGAATCTTAAAAAACAAACAAATGAACAAATAACGAAACTGAAAACCAGTAATAGACAGCTTAGAAAGCAACACCATTGAACTGTGTGTGTGTGTGTGTGTGTGTGTGTGTGTGTGTGTGTGTGTGAAGAAACAGTCCAAAACACAAGAGTGAAAAATTAATGTCTTTATTTAGAAAATTTATCCTAAGGACTGACACTGGTAATTACAGTGAATTTCATAACCTTTCAGAGCATTTCCTTATATTAGCTTAAGATGTCAATGGGGGGGGGGGGGGATGACTTAGCACTGGCTGCTGTTCCAAAGGATCCTGGCTCAAGTCCTAGGACCAAATGCCAGCTCACAACCATCTGTAACCTCAGTCATAGAGAATCCAGCACCCAAGTCTACCTCCATGGGCACATGCAGGCACTCACACACAAATCATTTTGTTTAAAAAATGATGTCAATTTCAGGAATGGAGGCGAGTGCTTTCCTGGTATGTGTGAGGCAAAAGACAGTAGAGATAGCGTCAATTAAGATTCTGTGCTTTATTTGGAGAGTTTTTGTCAGCAAAGGGAGTCGGGAATTCCTCATGTCCCATCACTTTTTTTGGAGGATATTATTCTAAGAGAGTTTGCCATTTTCTTGGACTGACAATTATATTTTAATCTGAATGTGTAAGACTGATAGGACCACAATCTTACACTTCTAATATTGGTAAATTAATAATTTTGATGGGCTTGTTCTGACCATTAAACTATATACTTAAAGTGAGTTTATGGGGGAAATTGGAAAACTTTTGATAATGCAGTGAATAAGTGAATTAATATTTTACTTAATTTATACTCCACTGCCAATGAAAATAAAGGTTCTTTTGAATTATTATGTTTTTTTAGTTCCAGATTATAACTGTAAGAATGAAACAAAAGTTTAATTGTCATTTAAAGAAAACACTGTATACAGCTGTTTCCCTTCTAACGGATGACATGTCTGAGAATAACTACAGTACAACTACCATCCACATGCCGTAATTTGAGTTGTGATCATCAGACCCATCATCAAATTATCTATTTCCTTCTTACCTTTCATGATACTGTTCAAAAATCACTTTCCATAGCTCTTGGTCATGGCAGGCTCTCCTTATCTGTACCTCTTTTATGTGAAAAAGAAATGCAAGGCTTAGGACTGAAGAGACAACAGAGCTGTTAGGGTCACACAACTCTTACTTGGGTGACCGGCAGCTCACAACCTCCTGTAACTCCAGCTCCAGGTGTTCCAAAACCACCTTCTGGACTCCACAGGCAGTACACTTGCAATCACACATGCGCGCGCGCGCGCACACACACACACACACACACACACACTTAAATATTTTAATTTTTTTTTTCAAGATAGGGTTTCTCTGTGTAGCCCTGGCTGTCCTGGAACTTACTCTGTAGACCCGGCTGGCCTTGACCGAAGTGATCCACCTGCCTCTGCCTCCCAACTGCTCGGTTTAAAAGCATGTGACATCACTCCTGGCCCATCTTTTAACTTTATAAGAAAAGAAGAAAGAAAAAAAAAAAAAAGGACTTTGCACCACCAATGCCAACCCTAGACTTTTTCATCTCTGCACAATGTATATTACATTTTATTGAATTCAATGGTCAATGAGTTTAAGCTAGTAAAACCCAGAGCCTCAAAGACAAAAATCACCAAAACATTCTCCCAGGAACCCACTCCCCTACACACCTTGGGAAATGGATTGTAGGACTTTGCTTATGCTAGATAAGTGTTGTTCCCCTCAGTTGAACCCATATATACATATCTTTCCATGTATAAATACCAAGCTCTCACGTAAACTTGAGAGTGGGCTGTTTGTGCAATCCATGTCATCAGTATACATAGGAACTAATACCCATGGAAGGCCAGGAAGGACTTCATGGTTGTTGTTAACGGCAGATTAGATGCAGTAACACGGGTCTGTCTTCTACACCAGATCATAAATTATCCAAGGGCAGAGACAAAACCTATTTTGTTCAACATATGACTCGGTCTTTACACAGCGTCAATGCTTAACCTGATGTGAGAACCCAGGACAGCCTAATGAACCACACAGGTGAAGCCCCTAGAGGACCAGTTTCCTCTTCTGAAAGCATGCGACACGTAATCTCCCCAATATTAGTGCTTTACCATCTGAGGGCAGGCAGGATTCTGCTCATCTATCTATCAAGGGTTAAGAGTGAACATTTAGTCGAAGTCGGGGGGCGGGGCGCTGAAAGAACTGCGATAACAGGTTAATGTAGAGGCTCCTATGCTTTTCCAGCCTCTTACTGCGCAACAGGGCTGACCTTTCACGCCCCTGCCCTGCTGCCAACCATCAGCCGAGCTCCCTCACTTAACTACAACCCCCAGCATGCACTGCAGGGCCGGCGGGCCCGGATAAGGCGTCCGAAGCGCCCGTCCCGCGGGCTCCCTCTGGCCCTTCGCCTTGATAGCTCCCCAGTTCCGGCTGGCCGTCTCCAGGTCGGAGGCAGCTGCTCGTCCCCCGCGCGGCACCGCGCCCCTGAAGTAGCGGGGAGTGGTCCCCGCCCCGCTTTCCGTCAGGCTTCGGCGCCCAGCGCCCGCGCGGTGACAGCAGGGGGAGGGCGTCCGGCTCAGAGGACCCCGGAAGCGCCTGGTTCCGGGTGGCCCGGGTGCGGCGGTCGCGGTGATGGCTTCGGGACCCGGCAGCTGAGCGCTGAGGAGGGAGTGGGCCCTGTGCCCGGAATCTCAGAGGCCGACGCTCACGTGCAGCTTGCACCATGGCCACCTCCGCCGCCTCCTCCGAGCATTTCGAGAAGCTGCACGAGATCTTCCGCGGCCTCCTTGAAGACCTACGAGGAGTGCCCGAGCGGCTGCTGGGGACCGCGGGGACAGGTGAGGCGGGGGCGGGGCCAGACCAGAACACCGCCGGGTGCTGTCCTCCCAGATGCGGATCCCCGGCTCCCTGCTTCCCATTCGGGCACGCCCCCTGCTGCTGTCCGAAGCCCAGGGTCTCCTGCAGCCGCTTGGCGTGACGGGGCGTGCAATGAGGTAGACATCAGGGTGTCGTCTCTTAGGGATCCTCTCATGTCCTAGGTCCCCGCCCTCCCTCCCCAAATCTTAGCTATCTGGCTGTCTGCCTCTCCCAGGAGCATAGGAGGTTCATAAATCTGCGGTCCTGTGTTTTAGTAAGACGGGAAAAAAAAAAAAAAAAAAAATCGTAATTGGAGGTTGGGGATGTAGGCGTTTGGTAGGCAATGAAGAATTTTAAATAATTCTAACCATAAAGTTTAGCATATAGGTGAGACAGAGGCGGGAAGTGAGGGAAGTCAACCAGCCACGTTGAAGAGGAACTGGGATGTGTCACTTCGAGACTCTTGGATGTCTTGGGGAAAATCCGTAAGGAACATAAGCAGCTGAGTAATGTGGATTTCATTTTAGAAGCAAGGCTGCGGTAGCTGGATAGAGGATGTGAGAATGGATATGAGGCTGTGTTAGGAGCTTCCGTGGCAGTTGACTAGGTAAGCATGGGACTCTGGAGAGTGAGCATTAAATCCAACAGGTGGTTCTGAGGCAGACTTATGAGAATGGTGGATAAGAATAGGAAGAAAGAAAAGTTTCCGTGTTTTCTCACGTGATCAGTTGAATGGATGAACTTAAATATGAGGAGCAGGTTCGTTTGAGTTGTAGATGTGACTGTCCACCTATAGAATAGAAGGTATTCTGTATCTAGCATGACAAAATATTTTTCTGCCATTAAAACCATCATCGAGAATTTATTAAATATAGTAGAGTAAAAACCAAGAATGTTTTGTTTTTCAAGACAGGATTTGGAGCCTGTCCTAGAACTTTCTCTGTAGACTAGGCTGACCTCAAACTCACTGAGATCCACCAGCCTCTGCCTCCCCAGTGCTGGGATTAAAGACATGTGGCACCAATGACCAGCCCCAGTGGCAAACACTTATAATCTCAGCACCTGGTCTATAGAAACAGGAGAATCTTGTGTGAGTTAAAGGGCAGCTTGAACTGCCTATGCTACCTAGCAGCGTAGAGGTCCAGACTAGATTTTATAGAGTGTGACATAGATTTTATATAGTGAGGGGGGAGGGAGGGAAGGCTGGCTTCAGACTGTCTTAGTAGCTATGTGACCTTGCAAGTTATTTTAACCAAACTAGTAGTTTCCTCTACAAAATGAAACAGCATCTAACTTCATGGGGTTTTTGTTTTGTTTTGGTTTGGTTTTTTTGTGAGGAATGAATGAATTAATAAAAATACCCTTAAAATATACCCTTAAAAATGCCATCTGACAATAGCAAGAGCTACTAGCTGTTATTAATATTTGGGAACTTACTGTTTTATTTACATTTAAAATATTAGCTCTTTATACAGATATTTTCAGGGTGCTCTTTTTTGTTTGTTTGATTTTCACTTTTGATTTTCTTGTTTCTCTGTGTAGCCCTGGCTGAACTCTTCTCTGTAGACCAGGCTGACCTCAAACTCAGAGATCCACTTGCCTCTGCCTCCTCCAGAGTGCTGGGATTAAAGGCATGCTCCACTAACACCCAGTCTCAGAACATTTACTTCCTAATGTACTTAACACTTTATATACTTATGATATTTTGTATTGCTTGGCTTT